CAGCATTTGTTCGTCAACATTGTTTACAATTATGGATATCACTTGTAATACAAGAAAAAGTTCCTGTTAAACAATATCTTCGAGTATTTGAACTCGGACTTGATCGATTAAGAGATAAAGCTTGTAGAGTTCGAAAACATGCAGTAACACTTGTTATGCATATGATTCTTAATAATCCTTATTTTGTTATTGTAAGTTTATTGAGTGAAGATTTTTATTAAAGAGATATTTTCTTGTTTTAGGATTCAACTCGAGCTCAAATTGAAAAAGGACAAAATGATGCTAAAAGAAAATTAGTTGAACTTCGTCAAGAACTAGAAAAATTAAATAAAAATATAAAAGAAGATAAAAAAATGGAAGAAAAAAAGTCTCAATCGGATGATGAAGATAGTGGAGCAGAAGATAAAACTATTGATGAAGATAATGAAATGAATGTTGATAATAATCAAGTAAATATTTAAATGAAAAAATTTTTTAATAAAATTACTTTTTTTTTCTTAAATAGAAAAAAGAAACAGAAGAGAATAAAGAATCAATTGAAGAACAAATAATGCGTGTTGAAGAAGTTGTTACTTTTTATAAAGTAAATAGGTTTTTCTAATTACAAACTTCTTTTTTATTTTTTGATGAATTTCTTTTATTTTTAGGATGGTTTTCGATTTATAGATTTAATTGAACAAGCAAATCAAGATGTTGTAAATTTATTTAATTCTCCAACATTAGCTGATTGTATACAAGCTATTGATTTTTTTGTTAATATTCGTCATTATCGTCTTACCTGGCCAAATATGGAACAAATTTTACGTTTAATGTTTAGACTTATTTGGTCTGTTGATGAATAAAAATGTAAAGCAATTACACAAGCTTTTGTTAAAATTTGTTTTGATTTATCACCAATTATTCCTCAAATGTATGTTTGTTTTAGATTAACATGTCAATTTCTAATGAATAAATTTATTTTTTAGACATATTCCTTTGTATCAAGCTCATGCTATAATTCGTGCTCTTAAAGATGCAACATTTTCGGAAGAATTATATTTTGAAGAAATTCTTAAACAATTAATAAAAGAAAAAAAAATTTCTACTAAAGCTATAACTGAAGCTTTATGGAAACTTTATAAATTTCCATATGATGGTAATAGTGATGTTATAGCTGGAAAAATTCTTACATTTATCGTTGGGTAAAATTTTTTTTTCTCCCAATGAATTATTTAAATATTTCATTTTTTTTTTGTTCAAATAGAAATGAAGTTAATACAAAACTAAATGATATAACTGATCTTATTCAAACTAAAGAAAAAAATCATCGTTTTGTACATATATCTTGTTTACTTTTACAATTAGCGGCTACACCAAAAGAGGTTTTCAGAAAGATTGTTTTTCTAATTGAAATATTTATTTCATATTAAACATAGATTGAAAATGGTATTCGACCAAAACAATTTCGTTTACCAAAAACTCATCGTCTATTTGAAATTCTTGGCAAAATTATTGTGTCAAGTAATAAAAAAATTATTATTTCATTTTAAATTTTATAGATTTTTGTTTTAGCATTTGATGATGTTTCCGATCGACAATGGACA